GATCCATTTCCAGGAAGAGCAGAACCACCTCCACCGCCAATTACAGTTGGGGGGGAAGAAGAATATGAGGCAGAATCAATCCTGGACTGCAGGAAGCGGGGGGACAAATCCAATACTTGATCAAATTGAAGGGTACCCACCTAAAGAAAGCTCCTGGGAACCAAAGGCCAACTCTCCAAGAGTTCTGATCCAAATATCCAGAAAAGATGGCCCAAGTGTACCTCTGACCAGCACTCCTACAGGCGACCTGTGCTACTTTGGCCCGACTCCCACTGTCCCATATCCAGGGGAGTCTGAAACTTAGCTGCAAGGGAAGCCCTCTCTTCATTGGCCTCCAACACCAGGTACGTGATAAATTGCCACATTTCTGATGTATGATCCTGTCTGGTATTGATACACAACTTGCTGAGTTCCGAATACACAAATTTCATGAAAGAAGAAATGAAATGACCTTTGGCCCAAAGGGGATAAAAAATAGATTTTCATTTAAAATGGGTGTGAGCGATATCAGCCAGGATCACAGAAGCCCTCCTCCCACAAATCTTCCAGTGTTTGTAAAATGGCAACGTCAGTGGTATCGAGTAACTCAGAGTCTCCATCCATGGTGTCCTGATCTGTGTTGGTGAGGCTCTCTCATAGAAAAATATCTCTTGAGAGTAAGATGGCGTGTAAATTTATTAAGGTCTACAATAATTTCAAACAGGTTGGGAGGGTCTGATGGAGCAAAATTCAGGCCTCATCTCAGGAGGGATAATTCAACCTCAATAATGGTAATTGGGTTAGATTGTGTATTAAATTTTTTACATATATGAATTTTTTTAAAATATAGTTTATATCACAAATAAAAATAAAAAATACAGTTTCTAATATACATTTTAATATATACTCATTTACGCATTTATACTATAGTGTGGGTTGCCCATTGCGAGTTTACACACAAAGTTACAGCTGTATTATAAGACCGCACTATCTGCAGATATGCATTATGGGTGAATTTCTCACTTATGCATGTAGACATTTTATCTATTTTCATTTAGTCATTTACTCACCTGCGCCCCCCCCCCCTTTTGGTTTTCCTTATTTGCATTTCAATTTTCAATATCATTCAACATTCAGCAATTTTCATCAGCATCCATATCTTTCATTATGACTTATGATTTATTATTTTTATTATTATTACTTATTATTATATTTTATTTGTTTACATATCCAAAAAAGTCATTCTGATATATACTAATAATTTTTTTTCCCGTAATATACATTAAATAATTATCACGTTCAACATTTTATTATTATTAATATATTTTTACCATTTTTTCATCATCTTTTTCAACATTACATTTTTTTTTTTCATCTTTTTCTTGTCTCCATCCAGTTTTTCACTCTTCAGTCATCAGGCTTGGTCTTATTGGCAGAGAGTCGCCAGGTGCTGCTCTCCCTGCAGATTGGGTGTGCTCCAGCAGCCTTCTTCCAACTACACCGGATATGATGTCATGATGACGCCATTCTGATGAGTCATTTCTGGCCTATGGAGCGCACAACCGACCAGTGTGCACTCCAGCGGCCATTTGTTAATTCACAGACTGGCTCCCCACCATATCAAGGTACCTTTTGGCCATCTCCCTGTATGGCGCGGTTCTTCACTAAGGTTCTGTACACGCATGTATTCTATAAAGGATCAGGCACATTTATTTATTTCAGGTACTTATATAGCACCGTCAATTTATGCAGCGCTTTACATATATATTGTACATTCACATCAGTCCCTAACCCTCAAAGGGTGTACAATCTAAGGTCCCTAACTCACATTCATACATACTAGGGCCAATTTAGACAGGATCCAATTAACCTACCAGCATGTCTTTGGAGTGTGGGAGGAAACCGGAGTACCCAGAGGAAACCCACGCAGGCACAGGGAGAACGTGCAAACTCCAGGCAGGTGGTGCCGTGGTTGGGATTCGAACCAACGACCCGAGTACTGCCAGGCGGAAGTGCCAGTTATTCATTCATTAATATCCATTTACAATTTGCTATGACTGATCACTTTCTCTGTCAGTACAAGGGGCCTGGTCCAAATGAGTATTAGCTAGTATTTATTTATTCTTAAATTTCTTATTATTGTATCATTGTATCGGTAGTATTATTATTGCATTAGTTGTATCATTAATTAATTTACTTTTCGCATTCATTCTAAAGTTCCCCTCCCACTCTGGCTTTGAGGGGAGGGTTTTTTTTTTTGAGGCAGTTCTTGTTATGCACTTGTCATACAAATATATGTATATTAGGGCATCATCACTTGTTGGCTTCAGCTCTGAGGAAGGGGATACGTCCCTGAAACACATCAGCAGGCCAACCGTACCACCAGTCGGACACTCTGCCATCATTGTGCGCCATCCTTGTGGCGTTAAGGCTTTTTCATGTACTTCATTTTGTGAGTATGTTTTTTTGTCTTCTTTCTTTTCAAATAAACCTTGGCTAAGTGTTTGCACCACCTGTGTGCTTCTTTTCCAGTTTTGATGATTTCCCAGTCTGAGAAGGGCTGCATCACCAAGAAATTATCCAATGGCTATCAACACATTGGACTCCATGACCTCTTCCTGGCATTAACCCCTTCTGAGGCGCTGGAGAGATAGTGCTTTTCATCCAACCATGGCACCACCTGCCTGGAGTTTCCATGTTCTCCCTGTGCCTGCGTGGGTTTCATCTGTGTACTCCAGTTTCCACCCACACTCCAAAGACATCCTAGTAGGTTAAATAGCTCCTGTCTAAATTGGCCCTAGTATGTGTATGTGTGAATGTAAGTTAGGGACTTTAGATTGTACACCCCTTGAGGGTTAGGGACCGATGTGAATGTACTATATGTGTCAGGGCTCCCAGGTATGACCAGAGGTGTGTGACTGATGCAGGGAAACGCAGACTTCAGATATGTGATAAACAATACAATTTATTAACACTAACCATACAAACATAAACGCAGTGCAATACTAAACATAATACAGTGCAAACAAACCCAACCAACCACCCACAGATAACAGTACATACAAGCAAGCGTCGTCAGGCAGGCCGGGTCAATATCAATTGGGCAGGTAGGTACAGGGGGAGCAAGCAGAGAATGGTCGGGGTCACAGGCCAGGTTCAGCAGGTAGCAAGCAGCGTAGTACAGAGGGTCAGGCAGAGGGATGGTCAGGGTCACAAGCCAGGGATCAAAACAGGTAACAAGCAGCGTAGTACAGAGGGTCAGGCAGAGGGACAGAAACAGGATGCAGGACAGATACAGGGCCCAGGACAAACACAACACCAAGGCAGAGTCTGTGGGTCTGGCCATCCCTTAAATACCCCAGCATCATCAGTTCCAGGTGTTAGCTGGCTGAAAGGTTGAGTCTCTGATTGCTGGGAGCACCCGCTGGCCAGCCCTGGTACTGCAGATCAAAAGGCAGGTGAGTCCCACCATTGCTGGCCAGTCCATTCCTGACAGTACCCCCCCCCAAGGAGCGGCCTCAGGACGCTCCAAACAGTCCTAGCTGGGCAAAATGTTCCACCGCCCGGTCTGGTAACTGGCGGGATATCAAAGACTGGCACACGGGCAGGACTCCGGGCAGCGGCACACCGGGCTGGACTCCGGGCAGAGGCACACCGGGCTGGACTCCGGGCAGAGGCACACCGGGCTGGACTCCCTGGCAGAGGCACACGGGCTGGACTCCGGGCAGAGGCACATCGGGCTGGACTCCGGGCAGAGGGACATCGAGCAGAGGCACATCGGGCAGAGGCACACCGGGCAGAGGCACATCGGGCAGGACTCCGGGCAGAGGCACATCGGGCAGAGGCACATCGGGCAGGACTCCGGGCAGAGGCACATCGGGCAGGACTCCGGGCAGAGGCACATCGGATTACCAGGCGAAGCAGCAGGCAGCGGGCCACCAGGCGGAGCAGCAGGCACCGGGCCCCCGGGCGGAGCAGCAGGCACCGGGCCCCCGGGCGGAGCAGCAGGCACCGGGCCCCCGGGCGGGGCGACATGCATCGGGCCCCCGGGTGGAGCAGCAGGCACCGGGCCCCCGGGCGGAGCAGCAGGCACCGGGCCCCCGGGCGGAGCAGCAGGCACCGGGCCCCCGGGCGGGGCGACCGGGCCCCCGGGTGGGGCAGCAGGCACCGGGCCCCCGGGCGGAGCAGTAGGCACCGGGCCCCCGGGCGGGGCGACATGCATCGGGCCCCCGGGCGGAGCAGCAGGCACCGGGCCCCCGGGCGGAGCAGCAGGCACCGGGCCCCCGGGCGGAGCAGCAGGCACCGGGCCCCCGGGCGGGGCGACCGGGCCCCCGGGGGGGCAGCAGGCACCGGGCCCCCGGGCGGAGCAGCAGGCACCGGGCCCCCCGGGCGGGGCGACAGGCACCGGGCCCCCGAGCGGGGGCGACAGGCATCGGGCCCCCAGGCGGGGCGACAGGCATCGTGCCCCCAGGCGGAGCGACAGGTCTCGGGCCCTCAGGCGGAGCGGCGGGCGCGCGGACCCCCAGATGGAGCGACAGGTCTCGGGCCCTCAGGCAGAGCGGCGGGCGCCGGACCCCCAGGCGGAGCGACAGGTCTCGGGCCCTCAGGCGGAGCGGCGGGCGCCGGACCCCCAGGAGGAGCGACAGGTCTCGGGCCCTCAGGCGGAGCGGCGGGCGCCGGACCCCCAGATGGAGCGACAGGTCTCGGGCCCTCAGGCGGAGCGGCGGGCGCCGGACCCCCAGGTGGAGCGACAGGTCTCGGGCCCTCAGGCGGAGCGGCGGGCGCCGGACCCCCAGGCGGAGCGACAGGTCTCGGGCCCTCAGGCGGAGCGGCGGGCGCCGGACCCCCAGGCGGAGCGACAGGTCTCGGGCCCTCAGGCGGAGCGGCGGGCGCCGGACCCCCAGGAGGAGCGACAGGTCTCGGGCCCTCAAGCGGAGCGGCGGGCGCCGGACCCCAGGCGGAGCGACAGGTCTCGGACCCTCAGGCGGAGTGGCGGGAGCCGGACCCCCAGGCGGAGCGACAGGTCTCGGGCCCTTAGGCGGAACGACAGGTCTCAGGCCCCCAGGCGGGGCGGCGGGCACCGAGTCACCAGGCACAACCGTGGGCTCCGAGTCAACTGGGATGACCGCTGGCACTGGGTCAGACATTGGATCGTCTGGCTGGACAGCGGGCATCGGGTCACCAGGCATCAGGTCATTTGGCTCGACAGCGGGCACCGCGTCATCTGGCAAGGCAGTGGGCTCCGAGTCAACAGGCACGACAGTGAGCACCGGGTCATCAGGTACCGGATTGTCTGGCTCGACAGCGGGCATCGGGTCACCAGGTATGACAGCGGGCACTGGGTCACCAGGCATCAGGTCATTTGGCTCGACAGCGGGCACCGGATCAGGTACCGGATCATCTGGATCAACAGCGGGCATCGAGTCAACTGGCCTAATAGGATCGTCAGGCTGGATCAGTTCATCATGCTGGGTAGAGGCATCAGGCTGAATGCCGGCGTCGGCCGAGTAGAGGCTTCAGGCCGAGTAGAGGCTTCAGGCCGAGTAGAGGCTTCAGGCCGAGTAGAGGCATCAGGCCGAGTAGAGGCTTCAGGCCGAGTAGAGGCTTCAGGCCGAGTAGAGGCATCAGGCCGAGTAGAGGCTTCAGGCCGAGTAGAGGCATCAGGCCGAGTAGAGGCTTCAGGCCGAGTAGAGGCATCAGGCGAGTAGAGGCTTCAGGCCGAGTAGAGGCATCAGGCCGAAGAGAGGCATCAGGCTGCATACAGGCATCAGGCTGAGTAGAGGCATCAGGCTGAGTAGAGGCTTCAGGCTGAGTAGAGGCTTCAGGCTGAGTAGAGGCTTCAGGCTGAGTAGAGGCATCAGGCTGAGTAGAGGCTTCAGGCTGAGTAGAGGCTTCAGGCTGAGTAGAGGCTTCAGGCTGAACCACGGAAGGCAGGCTCACCGGTTTGGATACTGGCAGGATGGTATTGGTTGGAAAGAATTTTCGCTTTTTTCTGGTTTTAACTACTGGAGCACTGCAAGTAAACGCAGGTCTGCAAACGAATGGAGCAGCTGGAGACAGAGAAGAACTGGAGGATGGAACAGGAGAGGGAGCAGTTGCTACAGAGGGCTCTTTTACAGGGTTTAAAGGCAGGATAGGTGCAGCGAGTGGGAACAGGGTACTGACATGCGGTAGATAGCAGGGCAGGAGGAGCTGTTGAGAATGCAGGAATTAGAGTTTTGAGGAAATAGATTAGAAGCAGGACTGGGTCTTTGTAAGCTGACTGAGGCTGGGTGCAACAAATCTGTCCATGTCTGCAGTATGGGTTGAACAAAGCTGAGCTTACACAAAGCCTGTCTGGTCAATGACTGTACTGCGTTTATACAATCTCTTAGTGTCTGTGGTGAACATGTGGAATAACGCTCCAGAAAGTAACCCACATCATCCTCTAATAACCACACCAGGGACTCTACCTGGTCTGCACTAAATGGTGGCAAAAATTCATCCCTGCATTCGGGGGGTACCAGATGAAACCAACTCAGCACAAACCTCAATCAATGGCTGCACCTCAGAGAACTCTGTGCCCTGATCTACTAGAACATGAGCGAGCCGTATACATTCTAGCAGTTCATCCCGGGTATACTCCTTCAGAGTTTGATAAGCATACTCCCTGTCATCAAACACTAGCAGATATAAATATTCAACCTCATCAAGATCCATCCTTCCCATCAACAAGCCAAGATGGCTTCCCTGTGCAGCCACTTCTGGTCAGGATTGGCCTTGGTGTAATGTCAGGGCTCCCAGGTATGACCAGAGGTGTGTGACTGATGCAGGGAAACGCAGACTTCAGATATGTGATAAACAATACAATTTATTAACACTAACCATACAAACATAAACGCAGTGCAATACTAAAACATAATACAGTGCAAACAAACCCAACCAATCACCCACAGATAACAGTACATACAAGCAAGCGTCGTCAGGCAGGCCAGGTCAATATCAATTGGGCAGGTAGGTACAGGGGGAGCAAGCAGAGAATGGTCGGGGCCACAGGCCATGTTCAGCAGGTAGCAAGCAGCGTAGTACAGAGGGTCAGGCAGAGGGATGGTCAGGGTCACAAGCCAGGGATCAAAACAGGTAACAAGCAGCGTAGTACAGAGGGTCAGGCAGAGGGACAGAAACAGGATGCAGGACAGATACAGGGCCAGGACAAACACAACACCAAGGCAGAGTCTGTGGGTCTGGCCATCCCTTAAATACCCCAGCATCATCAGTTCCAGGTGTTAGCTGGCTGAAAGGTTGAGTCTCTGATTGCTGGGAGCACCCGCTGGCCAGCCCTGGTACTGCAGATCAAAAGGCAGGTGAGTCCCACCATTGCTGGCCAGTCCATTCCTGACAATATGTATGTAAAGCGCTGCGTAAATTGATGGCTCTATATAAGTACCTGAAATAAACAAATAAAGCAGTGATGTGTATTTGCGACCAGCTTTGGCTACAGAAGTTGCTTAGTTGATTAGGGACTGGCCAAAGAGGGATGAATTTGATACAATTGGTCAGCTTGAAAATGTATTGCAATATATGTGAACTAAGAATCCCTGTTTTTATGCAAAAGTTGCTAGAAATATGCAAGTGTATAGCAGTGTTCAGAGGGTTCTTTAGTATTAACATGTACTCACACCTCTGTAGCACCTGAAGTGTTTATACAGGGGTTAGACACAAAAATGGAAACCCTACATGATTTACAGGTGTGAAAGTGACGTGATGAGACACCTAGCTAACAGGGGGGAAGCCTCACTTCCTTCATTCACTGCGTGCACTGCTAGTAATAAGGAGTCATGTCAGAACTTACTGAGCTTCAAAGAGGGCAAATTATTGGTGCCCAGAATAAGATAACAACTGCTGAAAAAGTGACTGTAGAGCTCAAACTCAGACTGCGCTTCCAGCATCCTTCTGGTTTGCCAGTTCTCTGATAGTTGTAGTTCATTCAGCACTCAGGAATACAAGATGTATAAGCTATAGGACTACAGGTCCCAAGATCCCCTGCTGTCAGAAGAACTGGATCCACTCTGCTAACAGGAAGTGATGTAGCAGTCCCCGTACTGGGCACTAGGCGGAAAAGGATGAATCATAGTCTCATTTGTAAATGTCCTTGAAGACATAATGAAATATCCGGCACCTGGCTACATCTTCATTTAGGAGCTGGAGTTGGGTTTTAAAAACCCATTCTCACCTATTTGTTAGGACGCATCAACATTTTACTTGACATCCCATTGTTCTCAATGAATCTAGTTCACATACTTTATATTTGCTGTGCATCATTGTGTATCATTGAATATAGTTCAGGTACATTTTGTCATTTAGTCACCCTCACGTCTGCTCTCATCAACTCCTGCTAATTCTAAACTGACATACTAATAAAACCCCCAGGGCACTGGGACAGCCTTCTGCTTCTAACTTCTGGAGATATATCCCCAAACCCTGGGCCTCCATCATTTAACTGTGGCCAACACACCCTCTGGCAGCAGCCGCAATCCACACTATTTATAATTATTATTATACAGGATTTATATAGCGCCAACAGTTTGCTCAGCGCTTTACAATAGAACGGGAGATCATACAGCAACAATACAGTTCAATACAAGAGGGAAAGGAGGGCCCTGCTCCTTGGAGCTTACAATCTAGGAGATTTAGCTTCTATTCCTCTTATTTCTAAAACCAGCCTCCCTTCTCTTGTGCTCTTTGGGATGCTGGCTCTATCTGTAATAAACTCACCTCTCCATGACCTTTATCTAACTTATTTAACTTACTTGCTGTTACTGAATCATGGTTTCAATAATCCAATTCTGCTTCTCCTGCTTCCTTCTCCCATGGTGGTGTAATATGGACTTACACTCTCAGACCCAGTAGATGGAAGGGAGGTTGAGTTGGAATCCTTCTATCCCCACAAAGCACCTTTCAGGTTCTTCATGCACCTCTCTCTCTTCATTTGAGGCACACTGTATTTCCTCTATTTTCTTTTAGAATTGCTGTGATCTACCCACCTCCTGAACCACTGTCAACCTTTCCTGATGACTTCTCTTGATAACCTCTTCATTTTGTCCTGAAGCAATAGATACATGCTTCTACTCACTTTGATGGCAGCACCCTTGACCTTGTAATCTCCTGCATTCTGTGCAATATCTTCAGCAATCATTTTCCTCTCTCTGATCACCACCTTATTTGTTTCATTACTTTCACTCTATCCCTGTTTTCCACCTCCTCTATCTTCCACTGCATAACAGTTACCTTTGGAAACCTTTGCCACTTTAATCCTTCTCTATTCTGCTACTGACCACCTCATCTCATCCCTGTCCTGCCCCAAGCTAGCCACTTTTGTCTACAACAGTTTACTGTTATTCTCCCTGGACACACTCATCCTGCTCACCGCACACATAATCAAACCCCGACCGCTACAACTTTGGAGAACAGATGACACCAGAAGTCTCAAAAAACATAGCCTCTTGGATCATAAGCTCTAACGAGCAGGGTCCTCTGATCCCTGCTGTATTAGATTGTATTGTAACTGTACTGACTGCCCTTGTGTTGTAAATCGCTGCACAAACTGTTGGCGGTATAAAAATCCTGTATAATTGTAGCACTACCACCTTAGGGGTTGCTGAGGAATTTGGGTCCCCCTATAGTCCTGCACATCTAGTCATTTAGCATCTCCCACGCAAGCTCTCATCCGTAGACATAAATCAGTCCTTGAGTGTTTGTTTTGTTATTTTATTGAGGGGAATATAACTTGGATAGGGTAAGGGGGGTATAGGATGCCCAAGGGAACTGAAACCTGAGGACAATTTCCTGAAATATTCACAGCATCTCTTCTCTGTCACAGTCTCTGTTGGAGTGCTAGCCAGCAGCACTCCAATCTGTAGCAATCTGGAGATTTATCTTCCTGAGCAGGGGATCTGGCCCCTGTTCTGTTCTTTTAAATAAGGTGCACAGTCACTAGCAGAGGGCTAATCTGGTTTTCCACCAGAGTGCTCCTTCCCCTATCCACCAAGGGGGTGCAGGTGTACTCACTCAGGTCCTCTCCTGTACCACTTGAGGGATGGCTGCTGCTACCAGGCCTATCAGCTGGGCTGCTCCTTCCCTGCCATACAGGTGGTCCTCTCTCAGGGGACGAGTGAGTCCCGAGTTATCCTCCTTTTCAGCTCTAGGCTCGCAGGCAGGCCCCATCCCACTAAGACTCCTGGCAGCCTTCTTCCTCCAGCCTCACACCTTCCTGCTTCACACTACTCTCCCATTACCACACACCTCCTACTGAGTAGACAACTCTACTTTTAAGGGAGTTCCAGCCCCTTGCCAAGCCTCCTGTTGGGGATTGGCTGAGGTCCCTCAGGAGTGTAGCCAGCCACTCCTTAGATCCACCCACTGTCTCCAAGGCCCTCCTGTGAAAGCCTCAGGGCAGGGGGAAATTTCAGAGGGGCTAGCCTGCAGAATCTCTCAGCCCTGACCGGAATTTGACCCCTCTGGCTATCTCACCTGAGCTGCTAATCAGCTCCTTACTAATTATTAGGGTCTAGCTCCCCCTAGCAAAACTAAGAGGGTGCTACATAATAATAATAGCCGCTCTCTTGTGGGTCTGTGGTATAAGACATGCTCAGAAAGACTTGAT